ACATATACATATACATATACATATACATATACATATACATATACATATACATATACATATACATATATATATATATATATATATATATATATATATATATATATATTCAGAAAAACAAACAAACACCAAAAAGCCAAATGCAAGTCAGTTCTGTTTTCTTGGGAAAGAGTACATACTTACTCCATTTTTCATACCATAAATCTGTTACAAGCAAAATTAGTGAATTAAAGATTTTATGTATTCTTTCATCATCAGAAATATTAGCTTTGGGAAAGTTGGAATTGAGAATTGATTGCAGGGAGAATGAAGGATACATGAGGTTTTGGCTTCTTTCTATCCTCTACGGTTATTATGCTCATTTGTATGAATTATTCATGGGTCCTTTTTGTGTAAAACAAAGCAAATGTTAATGGGTCATATTAGTTAGTAAGAAGAATATCTCCATTGTTTTCTTTGTGCGTTTCCAAAAAGATGAAGGGGTATTACATAAAGATAGGAAAATTAACTAAAGAATTGAACATTCATGAAGATAAGGAGTTGGAAGTGGTACTTTAGATTCTTCTCTCAGCTCCTTTGGGATCTGCTAATATATATTTGGGCTAGCCTTGCAAGTTTAAAAAACATAAACTTTTCACAAGAAAAAAATGACAATATTGAGCTTCTTCACATAATGTAGGACCTATGATGGTCTATGAAGATTAATATTTTGCCTTGAAAATAAGCATGCCAAGCAAAAGCAATCAGTCTAGGCAAATACTGAAGTGGGAAAAATAGTTGCTCAAGTACATATTATTAATATATTAGAAAAAATGTTTGAACAATTAATTATTTGGCTGTTGTGAAACGTTGCTCAGTATTGATTTCTGTGGGATATCTTTCAAAACCTATGTGTAACCACTATAAGACTTTGGTGTATTTGAAAATGGAAGAAATGCCACCTTCTTTAGCTCGTAAAACAACCAAAAAATAATTTATATTGAGCTTCGTAGTAGTCTTTCATTTATGTAAATTTGGGCCTCACCATCCTGACATTATTTTTAAGGGAAGTAGTAGCTATCTAAATTTTGGTTAAGTATAAGACTGTTGTAAAATACAATATGTTGAATTAGGTGGCATGGAGGTCGTAAAAATAATCTAGTGATTGTTTTTCTTGAACGTACCTTCTTGGCTTTATAGTAATTATTATTCTACTTTATAATTTGCATATCTTTACTTTGTCCCATGTTAACGCAAATTTATTTTTCTTTCGCCTTTATTTTATTTTTATTTATTTATATTTCATGTTTCTAGACTGCCCATATTGCTCCTTTCCTTGCTACTGGTTGTTTTGCTAACAAGAATCTGTCTGAGATAGGACAAAAGGAGATCATTTTTACAATTTACCCTATTAAATACTCAGAACTATTGACAATAATTGTGTTAATAGTTATAATTACTTTCAATTAATATTGGTATTTCATTTCTGTGTTTTATCAACACATATTCTTTATTGACTGTATGTGTCTCTGGTGCTCCCTTGATTTAACCAGTTTATATACATACTTGACTGTCCTACCATGTTGTTAAGGAGTGTAGTGTTTGTTCTTAAAATAGTATTTTTATTGAATTTTTTACTTAGGTTCATGTTCCTTCCTATGATATGGCTGGAAATGGGTCAAAAACAGAGTGTATCAGTGGACCAACTATGAAATCACAGCTTCAGGTAACTGGTAAGTCTATCTATCTATCTATCCAGTCCTGTGGTTTGATTTAGATACTGTCTCTGACAGCATCTCCAAATATTTTGTTTCTTTTTTATTGTGTTTGAATATATTGCATGTTTTATTATATAAAACAACATTAGGCAGCTAACAAACACATTGATTAATTATGTGCTATCAAATCAGTTTCACTTTTTAGCCACATAGTTATTTTCCATGAATTAAACAAAATATACAATAATAAAAATGCAAGATTAAAACTCTTAACAGTCACCAATACCTTGATATTATCCTCTCAAGAAAAAAAAGCTTGGCTCAGTTTACATAATGACACAATGCATGTGGGAAGATCTATGTTTTAACAGCATTCGGGAAGGAAGAAAGATACAGTTTTCCCTATCTCAGCTTTGTATCTCCCTATTCCGTACAGTAGATGAAGCTATGGATATCCCACCAGATGACAACTGCTGCATTCTGGACCAGTTGAATTTTTTGGGATGATCTTCAAGGGCAGCCCCATATAGAGAAAGTGTCTCTGGGTTTGGAGTCCCCTGGTTCTAGAGTGTTGCTGTCTTTAACTGTCAGTGGGTAGTACTCCTCAATAGAGCTGTTGCAGAAATTGTGTGTCCTTCTAGACTTGCCGGTCCTAAAGAGCAGATGGCAGTCATGGCTTGGGGTGGGTGTGGGTGTGGGGGCCTTTATACAAATTCATCCTGTGCACTCATTCCTGAAGGGGGAGGCTCTGCTTATGGTCACTTGCTCTCTTGTCATTTCTCATTTGGACTTTGCAATAATCCAAAGTAGAAGTACAGTAACCCATTGTACTAGAGAAGTACATAGATGGTATTGTGAATATATGCTATATCCTCTTTTGAAAGTTTTTTTCTGTTTTAGAAACATTTTAGAAACACTGCTTGCCTTTTTAAGTACTCATGATTTCTGCATATATTAGGGGCTTCTAAATGAAAGTCTTCCTTTAATCAGTTATAATACCAAAGGCAAAAGTTTATACTCTTTTATTGGACAGATTTTATATTCTGAACTAGAAGATCTGAAGGTGATGCTTTTTTCTTTAGCAGTTTTTTTTAAACCTCTTCCATTGGAATTACCATCATGTATATGTTGTTGCTAATATAGCTGTTAGTGTTGGTATGATTTGATCAGATATGATCAGCAGATTTTGGCTGGAAGAAAGTATGAAAAAAGATTTGACATACCATGTGCTATCATAGCTACTACTATTGTTAACACAATACAGGGATTCCTCAAATTGATTAAAAATATGTACTGGGACTGAAATTCCAAACTAAAAAAAAATAAAAGTATCTAGGAGAAACATAGTGGATATGAAAGTCATTTTCCATTAAAATCCTTAGGAGTATGACTTTGTTGGCCTGATCTACATGATGACCTACAGAGCTGCATTAGCTAATGGGCACTCGACACTGTCAGCTAACATTGCCATTAGCTAACATTGAACTGTGCTGGCCTATGAGTGAATCAGCCCTCTGGAAAACCTTGACTGAATGCAAGGGGATGGAGTCATGGAGGCAGATAATGATAGCTTCCTTTCTTTTGTGCCCTTCTCCACTCATATCCTATATTGTGCACTAAGGGAAAGTACATCTGTGTACATTGTAATACCCCGTAAAGAGGCCTTGCTGATAAAAAATATGAATACCTTTGGTAAAACGATACATATAACAGGCAGAAAGTGAGAAGCTATTTTACCATGCCCTTCCTAGCTTTTCCGAGGACTCTGAAGACATGGTTTTGCCATCATACTTGGGAATCTGGCTGTAGTGTAGAACCTACTGGATGACTTTGTAAGTGGTCCTTGTTTAGTGATTGCCTCTTTACTGACTGTTCACAGTGACAATACTGATAAAAAAAGTAACTTTGCAACCAATCCTTGCTTTTACCATCTTCACAAACTATAAAGTAAAGGAAAATTGAAGTGAACGCTAAAATCATATTTCAGTTACCAACTATTTTGTTTAAGAACCAAGTTGCAAGTCCCAAATGTCTTTGCTAAATGAGAACTACCCGTATAGGTTGTGATGCATTAATTGTACTGTTGCTAAATACATTTTCTACCTTTTAATGTTTTTTATATACAGTATACATACTGTTTTTGTTTAATTTTGTTTACTGTTCCTTCTTGTTTTAATCAGTTGAGCCACAAATCCAAGATTGTTCAGCTATATAAATTTAAATAAATGGTTTAACATTTATGAAAAGAAAGTTATGTTACACTTAAGTATTAATCTTGTGGCATAAGCTCATTTTCTTCATGCTTGGCCTAAAAATCACCACTTAGCAGGAGTGTTCTAAATTTGGCAAGGATGACAAAAACTAATGTTCTCTTGCATTTTTATAATTGAAGTGAGAGACTTGACACTTTTTAAATCAAATTGAGCTGGTATAGTGATGTTAATATCAAAACAAAATGGTTAGGGGGAATGTTAGATGTTAGCCTAATTCTGTCACTATTATTTTTATATATACAGTCATGAAATTAGATCTAATACAGTAGATCTAATAGAGCTAATTAGAACACAGATGTATATACTGTATATAATACTTATAATAATATATAATATTTAGATCCAATACTGGCATTGGCCCATTTGGCAGAAACAACATCAAGTATATGTTTCTTATAACTATCAACTGGTCTCTGACATTGACTACAAAGATTTTTTCCCCCCATTTCTCCATATAAATTTTTCCCCGCAATGTTTGAGGGCTTTCTTGCAACCTGTGTCAGATCACCCCCATAGATTTATATCCATACTTTGACTTGCTCATTCCAGAACCTTACCTTACCTTACCTTTCCCTTTCCTTTCCTTCCTTGTCATCTTGTGGTGAGATGGGTAGCAAACAAATTTAATAAATACATACATACATACATACATACATACATACATACATACATTACATAGATACATACATACATACATACATACATACATACATACATACAATTTTGCGATGGTGGGCTTCTCAGGCTCTGACTATATTTCCACCAACATGCTTTATAGTTGGTATTAGGTTCTTCTATTGAAATGCTGTCTTGATTTTCATTAAATATATGTTCTGGTGCTGTGACCAAATAATCTTTGGTTAATCTCTCCAAAACACATTTTTCTAGAAATCCTGGTTTTTGCCTAGGTGTTCAGGAGCAACTTTCAGTCTTGCCCTGGTGTTTTTTTTCTGGATAGCAAATGTTTCTCCTGGCATATCTTCTATGTAGATCTGATTGGTACAGATTCCTTCTAATGGTAGATTCATGCATTGTGACATCAGCAGTGGTAAGAGCTACCTGTAGGTCATGTGATGCAATTCTGGGAATCTCAAAGACTTCTTTCAATATCTTACATTCTGCTCTTCTGCTGAACTTGCTTGGACAGACTGGCCTCAGTAGCGGTTTGAAATCTCCATGTCCTTTTCACTTGAGCTGAGCTACCGATAAATATAGCAATGTGCTTACTTTTTCCTCCATGCAGAATTTTCATCTATGTTAATTTAAATTACACAATGGATTATAAAATGTAAATGGTACATGGTATTCATTGCATTGTTTCCCCTTTATCAATATAATTGAAATGAAGATCAAATATATGTATGTTGAAATGTATTAAAAAAACGCCAAGATTTTAATAAGCTGTATATTTTTCACATGACTATGCTTATTGATATCACTATATACTTGGGCTTCATGCTCTCTCTATCCCAACTAACCTCACAGGGTTGTTTTGGGGACAGTAAGAGGAGGAAGGTATGTTGAATATGTTCACTGCCTTGAGTTATTTGTAAAATTAATGCAGGATACAAATATACATACTTTAAATTTGTTTACAGTTACATTTAAGTTTCTGAGCACCTAAAAATAAGCATAGAACAATTTTTAAATGAAAATAATAGCTTCAGAAACTTCATAAGAGCTACATACAAAATAAAAAAAATGTTTTATACACAATATAATTTTGACTAATAAGCAACCTATTAATGTCAGAATATGCATGTGGGTGGGGTGAATATAAACATATTAATATTCATTCTCATATTTAGCTTATTCAAATGAAATGCACACTTAAGGAGCTATAACATACTTTCCGGCCTCCATTCTAAATAATGTGTTTATGATCTGTATTATAATGTTGCTATCTGTTTTAAATATTGGACATCTTTCCAATCTTTCAGTTTAGTTTTGAGCTGTAATAAATGCTTCATTCCTTCACAAATGAACTGAATAATATGAAACAATGTGATACCTATATGCAGGTTGTTTTTGACTATGTTGTTCTTTCTTATTTTTCAAGTTATTTCTGCAAAGTTGAAAGAAAACAAAAACAAGTGGTTCGGACCCAGCCCATATGTGGAAGTTTGGGTTGATGGTCAGTCAAAGAAGACAGAAAAATGCAACAATACCAACAGTCCAAAATGGAAACAGCATCTTACAGTGTAAATTGAGAAATATCATTTCATTCTAAGAAAAATGGAAATACAATCAGATAATATTATGGGATGAATATTGATAATGGAAAAATGCAGTGCTTATAAGGAAAGAGTATAAATGTTCATGGGCACAGAATTTTGTTTATTTAAATTTGTTGGATAAATTTAAAGACATTTTACCCAGTTTACATAATCTATCAAATATCTTAGAAGTTCCTACTTTCATTAGTCTGAAAGAAGAACATAACTATTTGCTGTCTAAAAACTATTGGTCCCCAAATAAATGGAGAAAGTCTCCATTTGGGCAGCCTTTTAAACCTAATAAATGACTCGAGTTCTCAGGCTACTTGATGCCACGACTGTCTAAAATAAGGGGGAAAGAAGTACATATATCAGTGTTTACTAAATGTTAATGTGTTTGTCAAAACAATGACAAACATTACGAGTTTATAAAAGAATACCTTTTAATTGGAAATGAGTTACTTTAAATGGGAAGCTTGCTAACTTTTCTATAACTCCTGAAATCCAGGTTTTATTTTAAGGTAGCTATTTTCAATTGTCATTTAACATTTACTTTTGATTGATCTTTATTATTTCTAACCACAACTGTAGAAAAACATTGACTAACTGTTGTAAATGGAATCAGTATATTCGTAGCTTCCTCTTTAACTTCTTGGCACTTATTGTGCATACTAATCCAAAATTCAGGGAGAGATACTTTTTTTACAAGGAAGTGTCAGAAGAAACATTAATGAATTGTTTCTCAGTAACAGCCTGTATATCAGTTATCAGTTTAGCATCCATTAAAATAATGGATAAAAATACTGAAAATCAATAAAACAAATACTTCTAGAGATACTTCTAAGACTCTGGATATTCTACTATATATTGTGCCAGAAAAAAATGCCAAAAATTTGTAAGAAAAGCCAAATCCAGGAATGATCAATATTGTAATAGTTTGTTGCATGATCTGTAGGTATCAAACATTATAGTTTGTAGAAATTTACCCCCTTTCAGTTCAATTAAAGGCCAAAATAGTATAGTTTAATTAAAGCAAATGTCAAAACCTTAACAGCTTTTTTGGCTGCTAAGAAAAAGAAGTAGTCCACTGGAATGACTTCTGGAGTAGGGTAAGCAATTGTAGGAAGAAAGAACTCAAAATTATTCATTATATTGTTTTGAAATAACTAAAAAAGATTTATATGTTGGATAACATACCACTGAATATTCCCACAGTTCAATATTTTCTTTCAGAAAATGCTTGATCGGCAGCTGAAAATACTAGTATAAATGTGTGTTAAAAAAAGCTTTAAAAAGGAAGTTAACATAGTAAAGTGACTAACACTTTGATTAGAGTTCATATTTCACTTAAAAACTCCAGCCTTCAACATTTTATATTATTAGCAACTTCTTTCAATATAGATATTTCTGTGGTATTTTGATGCATAATTTAAATGAAGGAAAGAAAAGTATGTTTAATATTGCTTCTGCTTCTTTAGAATTGTCTCCCCTGTTAGCAAGCTACATTTTCGTGTATGGAGTCATCAAACATTGAAATCAGATATCTTACTTGGAAGTGCCACTCTAGACATTCAGGAGACACTAAAAGCAAATAATATGAAACGTAAGTATGTAGCAACAAATTACTGAAAATGATATACTTTTACATATATGGAGCTCTCTTTAAAAAAGAAATAAACGCCATAGCTGTGTATGATGCAGGCATGCTTATAATTTCAAAATTAAAACAATTGAATTCGAAATAATCTGTTTGGAGGTTAAAAAAAACAAAACAGTTCTTTCAAGTTCAAATTGGGTTATCTGTACATTCTGGAAATATTTTTGAACTTGAACCAATTATGTTCTGAGTTCTAAATTAGATTTAAGGAGGACCAACTCACAAGGAGCAATTGTCTGAAGAACTTGTGAGAAATCTCAAGTCCTCTCCTTGCCTGGAGAGGAATTATGACGAGCCAATCTATTTGTTGGCTCTTCATTCCATTGTGGTTATCAGCATCACTTTTAGCAGAACCATCTTCAGTTTGCTATTTCTTCCCTGGAAGGATCTTCCCAATTTTATAATGTTTGTATATATTTGAAACTGTTGGTCTAATGTCAATCAAATTATCCAAACTTTCTCTGTTGCTGTCTATTTCTGCAGAATAGTGATGAGTCATTTCTTAGAGTTTAAACAATGCCATTCTAATTCATTTTCAACACTTTGAAATGCACATTAATGTATGGTGAGGTTTCTAGGGGATGTTGATATTTACAATTATACAGAAGTAAATGAGTTGAAATAAGAAAAGTGTTTGCAAAAAACTCTGATTTTTAAAAATCATATTAGTCGAGTGATTTGAGTGGAAATCCTATTTTAAAATGCAGTAGCAAAAACTTTTACAGGAATCTTTGCTGCTGAATTGCGCATTCAGGTAACTTTAGAACATCTGAAAAACATTTGTGGTCCTGGTGAATGTCAAAATATCTAAGCCTTTTTAAGTTGGTACAATAATGGAACAATGGTGAGAGCTCATTTCATCAATGAAATTTACTTCCATAGACTAGTGAAGAATGTGTGGTACAATAAGGGCTGATATAAAGATAAATGGGAAAAATAGGAAAGGAGCATTGAATTACAGTTAACTCTATCAGCAAATCTTTAAAATGCATATGTGGGGGATTTAAATATGTTGTTAACAATTCTAACACACTTGCTTAGCCTTAAACAATTAAAACATTTTAATAGGCTATTTCTGTTTTTTACATAGTTGAGGAAGTGATTGTGAACATGGATCTTAATGGTGACAAAGAACCAGCTGACGGAATTGGAGAGTTGTCTGTCTGTCTAGATGGTATGCAGGTAGATCCTGAGCTTCTGACTAATGGTGATGCCTCAAGCATAAGAAGTGAGTAATATTTTCCTATAGAGCTGTGCTGGTGAGCCTATGGCATGCGTGCCACAGGTGGCATGCAGAGCCATTTGTCAGGGGATGTGAGGCATTGCCCTGTCAGTTGGCCAGCGCACATACGCATGCTGGCCAGCTGATTTCGGTCTTCTTTTGAGGCCATTTTTCGCCCTCTGGAGGCTTCCCTGAAGCCTCCAAAGTGAAAAACCGGTCCTAAGGGCAAACCGGAAGTTCAGGAATGGACTTCCAGTTTGCTCGTAAGGCCGTTTTTCACCCTGTGGAGCCTTCAAGAAAGCCTCCTGAAGGCCCCAGAGGTCGAAAATTGGCCCTACAGACAAACCAGAAGTCACTTCCGGTTTGCTCGTAAGGCCGTTTTTCACCCTGTGGAGCCTTCAAGAAAGCCTCCTGAAGGCCCCAGAGGTCGAAAATTGGCCCTACAGACAAACCAGAAGTCACTTCCGGTTTGCTCGTAGGACCAGTTTTTGCCCTCTAGAGCCTTCAGGGAAGGCTCCGGAGGTCAAAAATGGGCCCTACGGGGAACCCGGAAGTTCAAGAATGGTGACTTCTGGTTTGTCCGTAGATCTGTTTCTTCGCCCTCCGGAGCCTTCAGGGAAGCCTCATGAAGGCGCCGGACATCGAAAATTGACCCTACGGACAAACCGGAAGTCACCATTCCCGAACCTCCGGCTTCCCGTAGGTCAGTTTTTTGCCCTCTGAACCCTTCAGGGAAGCTCCTGAGGCCTCCAGAGGGTGTCCGGGGTGAGTGTGGGGAGGCTGTTTTCGCCCTCCCCAGGCTCCTAGAAAGCCTCTGGAGCCTGGGGAAGGTGGCAAAAGGGGGAGGGAAGCTGAGGACCACGCACACTAGCATTATGGGTGTGACACGCTGGTGCACGACACCCCTGTTCTCTCCCCGCTTTTGACACAGCAGCCAAAAAAGATTTACCATCACTGCTATAGAGTATCTGTATCGCATAAACAAAGTCCTCAATCTTTGTTCAGCCCACTCTGAGGTATTTCCTGTGAGAAAAGTCTGTTGAAACCATCGATATTCTACCCTTATGCTTTCAATTTCTTGCCAGAACAATTCTATTTTTAAATAGCATAATTTTAAATAAAATATATTTTATTGCAATAAACATAATGACTTAAATAAAGTCTTAGCTACCAGACAATCTTAACCTTGCTTAGGATATTAAGGTGTTTTGGTTAAGGGCCCAATTATTTGGAATAGCCGCCCTCCCCCCAAAATAATCTCAGGCTTATCTCTTCCTTTAACAGCATTCTCCAAAATAGTAAATACAAAACTGTTCCAGAGGTATTTGGAAGTTATTTGCCATCAATTAGTTATTACTGCTGTGTTGTGGTTTCATATTCCAGATTGGATCATGATGTCAAGATTTTAAAAGTTAGATTTTATAATTTTAAACTATTTAAATTTATCAGGTATGTTTTCATTGTGTGATTGCTGACCATACTGTTTAATTGTTGATTTTTGTTACGTCCCTGGCAGATTTGGAGGCATACAAATGTAATAAATAATATTCAGAATTAGTAATGTCTAGTTATCAGCAGAGGAGTAACTAGTAAACCAGCCAGTTTCTGGACAAACAACCATTGTGGCTTGATAGGGTTGGTTTTCAGATTATTACAAGCCTCCACTCTGCCAGGCTTTCAACATTGTGCTGTTAACATTTATAAACAATAAAATAGAGTTCCAGTATTTATTCAGTTTCTGTTTCCTCATGAGGCTGAACTCAGATGATTGTCATGGACTCTAATCTTAAATATAAATTCTTGTTATCTGTAGGGCAGGGAGCCATGACTTGTGATCACTGAAGCATGAACAAAAGGGCCCAGATACTTTGTATATATGTTAAGATCGCTAATACTTACAGATATTTTTTTCTCAAACTGCTGTATACTGCATACATCCATCATATTTTTCTGGTATTGTAAAGCTCTGCCTGCTTTGTGGAGGGAATCAGCCTTCCTTGTTGTCAGGTCTTAGTAGTTTTTATCTCACTGAAGTTTTCTTGTCAGAATCAATTTATTTTCCTTTGGAAAAAATTTTTCTACTTTAAGCCTTTGATAATGTTTCTAATAAAAAAACCTACTTTTCCCGTTTCCCTGCATTTTTACTTTTACTGAGAAACTGTTTCTCTTCTTGTGGCCCTTTAGAAGTGTTGAGCTATATAACCTATCATTTTCAATTTTGCATTGACTGTAGGCACATGAACTAGGAATTAAAAGAACGTAGTCCAAGATATCAAAAGGCAACAGGTTGGAGAAAAGTAACTGTCTCTACTGTGCTATCCATAGCCTTTAGTCTTCCTGCACTTGTTAGTTGTTTATTTTCAGACATCACTAATGTATGTTTTAATCAAAGACAAGCAATGGTATCTACAAATTCCCTGTCTTTTCTGATTTTAATTTATATAAAATCACAGAATTATCTTTCCCTTTTCTCAGCTCCTGAAAAAGCTTACCTGATTTTGAGGTTAGGTTCAGAACAACACTGAAGGGATAATAATGGCTTAAGACTTAAGTGAAAGGAGCTATTAGTGAAAATTTCCAGCCTCCTCTGTTGCTTAGCTAAGAATTGTTTCCTGGATCCTGGTTCTGGATTCTTCTGTTTGGTGGGACAACTACAGCCCCACTTTATCTTATATTTAGTGTGCATTAGGTTGCCTGGTATAATTATGTAATGTTTATATCTTTTTAGTGTGATAAATGTTGTAAATTTGTATTTGCTTTATGTTTAAGGTCCTGACCCAGATGATGGCTCCAAAGCAAAAAATGAAACAAGGTATGGTGGTTCCAGTTGTATCTTACCATGAGCTCTAGATGATTGCTGGCCTAGCTATAATTGACTCAGGATAAATACATTTAAAATTTATATTTAAATATGTATTTAAAGTAAATAGAGTAATTCAGAAAGACTAAGCAGAGAGAAGATAAATATAAACAGATTCAATGACATGGTTTAATATCTGGTGAATTGTATCTATGTTCTAATGTCATAAAATCCTCCTCGTCTTTCAGCACTATGCTGTCAGAATTATTCATGTCACTCTGGCTATATGAAGGCCAACCATAACAACCTACATTGACTTCCTGCCTATTCGAGGATCCTGAGCTGGCAGGTCATCCAAACATCTCCATGGTGTTGCCCCACCCAAGTGTTTTTGATCCCAGCCCATTTTTTCTTATAAATCCATTCTAGTATCTCTTGTGTCAAGAATTGCTTTTCAGAATAACACACGAGATAAACCTGCACTTATTTAAATTTCACCTTTTTCGTGAAGTTTTTACAACATACCTGCATATTTTTACCTGTTTTGCTCTCCTTCCCCTTTTTCAAAGCAAAATAAGAGCGCTTACCCTCTTCATTATGGGGGCAATGGACATTGTCAAAAAGGAACGCTGGAGGTCATCATATAACTGCAATATCTTCAGTGATCCTTTTCCCTCTTATATAGCACAGTAGATAGTATTTGATTTGGAAATTTAACTCACTCTTTTTACCTAGATGCCAATTTCAGGTTTCAGGGATAAATCTTGTTTTCCTTTCTATTAAGGTGTGACAGTGTTGACAATTGTGAGACTGCTGTTTCCAGTGAAAACAAGGGGGCTAATATTAGTGACTCTCCATTAATTGCAAATGGTGGCTTCAAGCCTTCGAGACCTCCAAGGCCCTCTCGACCACCTCCACCCACCCCGCGTAGGCCTTCAGCTCCAGTTGGTATGTGAATATCAATATGAGATTAGTTTTCAAATTGAGTTCAAATTTTATTTTACTTATGAATGGTGCCAGGAATTCGTTCCTGACCAGTTCAAGGTTGACTCATCTTTCCATCCTTCCGAGATTGGTAAAATGAGGACCCAGATTTTGGGGGACAATATGCTGACATTTGTAAATTGCTCAGGGAAGCATCTAAAGCACTATGGAGCAGTATATAAATCTAAGTGCTATTGCCAGTTTGCCCACTGTACTGTTTAACTTTCTGACTTTCAGGAAAACATTCTCAAACTATATAAAGAGAAGTATACAATGCTACGTTATGGATGATTAAAGTTTGGAAGATTTCACCATATTTACATAATAAATACTGAAATAACTTTATTTTTTAAATTTATTTATTCATTTACATGACACACACACACCCCAAAAAACCCTGGCTTTTCAAATTTATATATTTATATATTGCATCCTGAAAATGAATATTCTCATTAAAGACTTCCAAATTTTTGTGATTCAGAGAACAAGAACTTGTATCCAAAATTGTTCATCTTAACTTTCTGAAATTAGAGTTTCCCTGAAATGGAATTGGTTAAAATTTAACTGGGAGCTACCTTTTCCAAAACAATCAATCCCTAATTTTTAATGTAGTGTTATAAATGAATTTTGATATTTAGATATTTTTAAAAGGCTTTTTTACTTGACCATTCTTAATGCCAGTAAGTCTACTGCTAAGTCTACTGCTATTAATCAAAATAGTCTAATAATGCTACTATTATCATGTACCCTGTAGAAATCTACAGGCTTTCTCTGATGTACCAGAGTAAAAGTAATTATTGCCTTCTTTCCAATCTGTATTCTCTGCAGCAAGTGTCAATGGCCCTTCTTCCACAGAATCAGAAGCAGCTAATAAAGAAACTGTGCCAACCGCAAGCACTTCAGCAGCAGAACCAAGTTCTGATGGAGGAACTTCAGGGACAGCTCTTCCTGCAGCATCTCCTGTAACTACTCCACCCATATGCAGACAAGTTCAGCCAGCAACTCCCATTTCACAGCCCCATCATACAGGTCCTCTTCCACCTGGGCAAGTGTTCAACATTGTTAAATTCTGTATTACAAGTAGTTTTGGAGCTTAGCAGCTTTTCCTCTGAAAGGCAGCACTTTCTTGCATCTCTTTCATGCCTGAAATCATCCAAAATATGATTTGTATACCACCTATAACTTTTTAAAGTTCTTTATGAAATCTCATATGATGACACAAATATCAAAATTCCTATAGCAACGAATGTTGATTGCAGCACCCAAACAAGACAGCTAAGCAGGTACATTAGATGGGATTAGATGGGAAAATACAGTTTATAAATAAAATGATATTGTTTCTGACATATGATTAGAAATTATTGGGAAATATGAACTAGTGTGGCTATTTTCCAAGTAGTGCAGCACCACTAGATCATCATAAATTCTTGTTCTCAAGTTAGTGTGGTATGGTAAAGATAAAATTGGCTACATCTGAATGGTCTGCTTCTTTTAGAAGGATTGTAGTACAACTAAATAGAATATATACTATAAAAATATGAATAAAATAGAATTCATTGGAATGACAAGCAGGTTTTACTCTGCTTTTACCAAAACTTAAAAGTGTGATGGGAAATGAATACTGTCAGAGCACTAGATCACAGAGAGTGATTCAGATTCTAACTGCCAAATTAAGACGGGTAGTTGATCCAAAATTCTTAGCCTACAATATTTTGCAGAATTACTATGAGGTTAAAATGAGAAATACCACATTTGCCACCCTACATATTTGAGTTAAAAAGCGGACAGTTCAGATGTGACAAATATTTTTAGTCCAATAAATTTGTGAAATTGCAAATAGTTGAAGAATTTTGTTTATCAAGGATTGCACTATAGTAATAGCAAACTTACAAATGTGAAATGAAAGTAAGCCTTTGTGTGCTGCAGTATATAGATAGTGTAGGAATTAAGAGATGTCTCCTTTAAGAAACCACCTCCTGGAAATGTAGGCAGAGGCTGCCTTATGGGAATTGTAGTTCTATGACATGTGATCATATCTATGTTTCTGATTGGCCACTGAAGCATTCTGCCTGCATGCAGAGACAATAGCCGGTCATTTTGAACCGGGAAAGCAAAGTGTGTGCTTCAACCTGGGAACAAAATCATCTTTTTACACCACGTGAAGGGACAGATTATAGAAAGTCAGAAGTATCTTAACACTGAAATGTAAGTTTTGTTATTAAGAATGCCTGATAATAAATTCGATCTGAATGAGATTCCCAAATGTGGAGTTAACTGCATGCCCCGAGCAAGCCTACAGCGCTTGAGGCAGAACACTTTGCTTTATATAATGTCTAAATAGGAAGAAAATACACTTATTATATATTGCAATTGTAGAGGGCTTAAGAAGCCACTTTCAAATAAGCAGCAAGGTGAAGGTATTTGAATAAATTCATGTGTTATTGTTTTTTTCCAGGTGGGAACAAAGAGTTGATCAGCATGGCCGAGTGTATTATGTAGATCATGTAGAAAAAAGAACAACGTGGGATAGGCCAGAACCTCTTCCTCCAGGGTGAGCAATTCTCAATACATTAACTCATGGATTGTTTTTTGCTAGGTTGTTATTGCTTTGGGAGTCATGTGTTTTATTGCTTTTGAATGTTGTTGTTATAGATCTAGAAATTTGGGACATTCCCAAGCAGTTGTAAAAGAACTTGTAGGTATAAATTCAGCAGTTAGGTTTGCTGTACTGCCCCTATCTTTTTTCTGATTCAATTGACAAGAAAGCAATCAAATCCCATTTTTCATATACTAATATATTTATTAAAATACATATTATACACTTGAATAATGTAAAAGTAATAGCCTTATTTTTGCTATTACAGGCAAAATAGACACAAATAAATAAAATGTAGTCGCTTTAATCAAAATGCTGGAATTGAGAAATAGAATGGCATAGGGATAGAATTAAACTACTTTTCCTCACTGTTCCAATAAAATTGAGAAAATATTTTGCTTGACCCATTTTATTTGTGTGTAGATTTATATCCTGGCTTTCATTCAGGACCTCCAAGTGGCAAACATAGGGCTCCCTATTTGTGTGTGTGTTCTTTGTACTGCATGGGTTCTCCGTTTTCTTTCCTTCTTTTATCTGATTGCTATGTTCTTTGTGGTCTGTGCTGCTTTCATTTAAATATATCACCCTTGTTCTTTAGTTGGGAGCGCCGAGTGGACAACATGGGACGGATTTATTACGTTGACCATTTCACCAGAACAACCACTTGGCAACGACCAACTCTGGAATCTGTTCGTAATTATGAGCAATGGCAACTTCAGCGTAGCCAGCTTCAAGGAGCTATGCAGCAATTTAACCAGAGGTTCATATATGGGGTGAGAACTTACTGAAGAATGGGTTGCAAATCAAATATAACAGATACATTAGCACAACACCATCTAATTAAAGTTAAGAATTGAGAGAACACTATATTAATTAATTTCTATTGAGAATCCATTAAGCTTCCAAAAACAAAGAAGTACAATAAAATTTAAATGTGATTTGCTTGCTATAGAGAGAAATTATTGTTTTTCTTTCTTTTATAGTTTTTGAAAAATTACTTCTTCTTACAATATTATTTTAAATAATTCTTTACTTCAGAGTAGTATGGCTTAGATATTTCAGACTATGTTTTATGCCATTCTTGGAACAATACAAGTAACATTTAGCCCAATATAGAGATTATAATCATAATTTATTCAAGAAAGAGATTAGCATTGGCAATATTACATTAGATTTGCAGGATTTCACTTGAACTCAGTCTTATTTATAAAATACCCCTTAAGTCTTGCAAGAGAAATCTTGTTTTAAAATAATATACGTATAGCACAGTTTGTAGATCACCACTAGGACAGTTTAATTAGTGTTTATTAAGATGTATCTTCTTGTGATTGTAGAATCAAGATTTCACACAGAATAAAGAATTTGATCCTCTTGGTCCCTTGCCACATGGATGGGGTAAGATATTTTTTAAGTTCTAGTTTCTAGTATCACTTATTTGGAATTTATTCTTACTCATTTCATTTAGTAATCACCAGGATTTTTTTTTCTTATCTGACATTCATGATCCCAAAGCTTACATGCAGGGGCACTGATGTATAAGCCATATAAAATGTCCCCCCCATTTATTGAGTTAATGCATAATGTTAAATTATTTTTGCTACTTTACATGCAGAACTGCATAATTGTTCAAAATCTGGAATCAGGATTTGACCATTGTTTCTTAAGGGATAAACAGTGAGAGGATGTATCCTGCTGAAGGAGCATTACTCAAAAAAAGTGACACCTATTTTTTTCTGAGAGTAGATTTATTCTTCGTTGCTCTTGCACTGGCACCTTATAAAGAGGAATTAAGCTTCTAGATTAATTTAAATACTTCATCTACATAACTGTTACAAAAGACCATATTTCCAGGTAAAGTGTTTAAGATTAAAATCAACATAAAGTGATTTCAAAGCTGCCAAAATGTAATTGGATGGTGTCAAAATAAATGCTTTCTCAGTGATAATTTCCATACTTGCAATTCCTTACATCCTCTGAAAGGTTCCATTTGAGCAAGTTCACCTGTTCATCTCCTATTACACATCCTAAGGTTTGTCTTAGAAGCCCTTTAACCGGTTGAGTGGAGGGTCGTCCAAATTGTTGTAGTGTATAGTAACAATAGCAACAAGTCTTATATAAGTTGAGTGAGATATTTTCCATGAACAAATGTGGTCACATAAATATTACTTAGATATGTCTTATATCAAAATTAACAACATAATTACTATATTTTCTCTCAGAAAAGAGAACAGACAGCAATGGCAGAGTATATTTTGTCAATCATAATACTCGCATCACACAGTGGGAAGATCCCAGGAGTCAAGGGTAAGATCCAGCATTATTCAACAATATTCCAAAGGGTATGCTTTTTTTCCTTACAAGCAGTGAAAGTAACATTGAGTATTAAAAAATCTGTAATTCATAAAGGTATGGATAATCTTCTAACTTAGATGGTTTCTTGCTAAAATAAGTAATGTAGTAATAACTCAAAAATGCACATGCACATTGAGTAGAGCTTGATGATATCACATTTGTCTCTTTGGACCCTCAGTGGAAATCTTACTGTTTAAATATTAACATTTGATTAAGATACAGTATAATTACATGTGACATATAGAATACTTGCAGCATCAGTGTTTGAAATATGAGCTCAAAGAATGGTGATTATTTCTCCTGTCCATTTTGTTGAATATTTAAATGATAAAAATGAAAAACAACATGAAAGTTAAGGTGTAACAAGTGTCTACTACCTTATAAAATATTCAGATGTCATGGCATATTTTGAGTTTAAAAGAAACAGAATGACAAAAACTTATCAGCTGTAACGAAAACAGTGTTATTTGTTCTCTTTGATAATCTAGTAGATAAAGAAACATTGACCTCCGATCACTGAGCAGGAATAGCAGCATTTTTAATATTCTCTTACTAAATGTCTCTGGTTTTTTTCCCCTTCTAATGACACTATCCCTTTGAGTACCAGGTAAATGATAATGTACAATTAAAGTTCTGCTCAAATAACTACTAGTTTGGATTTAAGATGCAGATATGATTTGCATAGTCTATCAGTTTTATAACATGCAGTTCATATCTTTTGTATCTTTTTATAGTCAATTAAATGAAAAACCTTTACCAGAGGGCTGGGAAATGAGATTCACTGTGGATGGAATTCCATATTTTGTGGATCACAACAGAAGAACAACAACATATATCGATCCTCGTACTGGAAAATCTGCTTTGTATGTTTTTTTCCTCCTAAAATATCAATGGTGTTTAGGTAGTCTGTAGAAAGGGACAGGGTTAACACAATAGTTAACACAATAGGTCTCTTTCATATTAACTAAATTACATTGTTACTTTCTGATCAAATATTATTTGATAAGACTGATTAATATACTAGTCTGAATATTGAACTTTTTCTCTTCTATATACCCTTTATTCTCAAGGCAGGTCAGGTTTATTTCTGCTTCCGGGCAGTTTCTAAAACAAAACAAGATAATGCTTAAAAGCAATTATTTTTCAGTGTTTTAATGTTTAATGCACATTACATTACATTTACATTAAATGCTACACAGCTAAATCCATTTAAAACTAAAAGTGGTGTGACACTGAACATTAGAGATATTGGCAAATAGATTTTTCCTGTCCTTTCACTTTCTTATTTGGAATTGTTCTCCTTGCTTTCATTAAAATTAGAATGAAAAGAAGACTTCCAATCTATCTTTCTTCATATCACCTTCTTTCCCTCCACTTTTTCAAATCTTTCCATTTAATTTGCACTGGCTGGGTTGTATATTAGGAATGAGAGAAAAGGAATGGATGAAGTAGACCAGGGTTGGCAACTTGTAGATGTATGGGCTTCAACTCCCAAAATTCTAAGTGATGAAATCCATTCACTGAAATAGACTATCCTTCTCTTTGAGTTCTGATGCCAGGATGAAAGTCCATCTTTTCTGGGATAAACTGCAATTCCCAAGGATTATCAGCAGTTTTTTTTAAGTACTATCAGGGAGGAAACCAGATGCCCCTTGACTTCTTTTACAGTTGGGGCAGTGCCAACTGTATAAATACACACACACACACACACACACACACACACACCACTTCACTCCAAGGTGGACTAAAAAAATCCTTCTAATTCTAAAAAGGAAGTTTATATTTAACACAAGATAGGAAATTGCTGTTTTAAGTAATGATTTTTTATGGAGAAATACTTTATTGTGAGAAGGGATTTTATTTTATTTATTATTTATCTATCAATCAATCAAGTCTATTTGGTACCATCTTGCAGTTCAGACTACTCTGAGCTGCTTACATTCAGATAAAATAAACATTCAAATATTATAAATATAAAAATGGATTAAAATTACAAAAAATAAAACAAGCTAAAAAACAAGGGTTTAAGGGGCAGAGGTGAGGTGCCTTCTCTGTTAGTGTACCACCTACCTCTAGCCAGCTTCTCTTTCAGGACAACGTGCCTGAAAGAGGTTTTCAGGCTTTTTCTGAAGTCTAAGAGAGAAGCAGCAGATCTTGCCTCCTGAGGCAAGATGTTCCAAAGGACAGGAGCCATGGCAGAAAAGGCTCTTCTGGATCCCACCAAACCAAAATTTCTTGGCTGGTGCGATCTGCAGCGGGCTGTTTCTGCCAGCACCAGTAGGATGGGCCAATTCCATTGGGGAAATATGGCATGCATTCTGATAGCATATTTTTCTGTTCAATTTTATTCAGATATTTAGGCAAAATCCTTAACTGAATATACATTTGTGCTTAATCAGTGTCACCTTGTTTTTGCTTCCAGAGACAATGGACCTCAAATAGCCTATGTTCGTGATTTCAAAGCAAAGGTCCAATATTTCCGATTTTGGTGTCAGGTGAGAGATACTTCCCTTTAGAAATGTAATCATGAAGCTCTTGCTATCTGCAAAATATTTAATCTTGCCTGAAATCATGCAATTTGTTATGCCATATTGTGATTTGTATAGGTTAGTATATTGGCATTATTGTTTTGGTTTATTTGTGGCATGGTTTATTATTGCTTTTAATTCAGTCATGACATATTTGAAAATCATGATTAATCAAATCAGAGCTTATAATTGCCTCTGTATGTTCAGAGTAAGAAATATTTACATAATGCTTTCTGATATTATACATCAGCTCCTGCAACTAAGTTTCTAGTCCTGGATTTTCTGAAGCTGATGTGTATTAAAACAGCTCCAGCAACATAAGGGTTGAAGAGGAAAAAGGGACTATTGGGTTCCTCTCACTCTGCAGCAGTTTTTCTTATTTAAAAATTGTCTTGTAATGCCATGTAGACCCAAAACAAACGAACCACTCCTTCCTGCCCAGTGGTGGGTTCCTAACTGGTTTACTACCGGTTCACTTGAGAGGGCATTTTGCTATGTTGCTATGAAGAGGCATCCATATTTTGAAATCAAATTTGAAGTACTCACAGATAAATATTACTGAATTTATGAATAATGTAAATAATGTAAACTGTGATTAACATATTTAATTATAAAAAACATGTTAATGGGAAAATTACAGAATTGGCATGTCACCTTTTTCCAAAAGATTACACAGTAATATTTTGTATTCCGATCACTTCACCATAAAGATAGCAATGTTTCTTTATAATGAGTTCACCATTTGTCCTTTTATGAATTTGCCTTGTTGGAGGGTAACCCTTATGCATTAAGATACATTTCTTTTGTGACTCTGTAGACCAACTTGTCACATCTTTCCTTGCACGTATGAATTATAATTTTGTTTACAATTAAGATTTTCTTAATTATCAACTTTTTAAATTTTCATACAATATATCAGACATTTCCTGTATCCGTATTTTATCAGATGCGCTACGTGAGCATAAAATGAATGCAAGAATATTTCTTATTTTGTAATAAGAAAATTGCTGGGCATGAACATAAAGTGCCTCCTATTCTGGATAAGTAATTAATTTGTTCACAGTTCCTCCTGAGAGTGTTTGAGGGAGTGAATTCCTGCTGAGAGTGTAATATGTTTGTAATTATGATTATCTAATATGTTTGTTTTTCAAATGTATTTCTTACATTTCAGCAACTCTCTATGCCCCAGCATATAAAAATAACAGTGAGCAGAAAAACACTGTTTGAAGATTCATTTCAGCAGGTAAATGAGCAGAAATTTTTGAACTAAGTAATATTTTTTTCCTAAAATTATTTGATCAACATTTTTTCCTAATTGCAACTTGGATCACTGCCTTACATGTGCTTTAGTCTAAATAGCTATGTGAATAACTATTAATATTCTAAGTAACGTTTGATATTTTTTTTCCTGTGAAGATTATGAGTCTCAGTGCCGTGGACCTAAGAAGACGCTTGTGGGTCATTTTTCCAGGAGAAGAAGGCTTAGATTATGGAGGTGTTGCTAGGTTAGTATGACTTAATTCATAAAAACCATAAAACTAAAATTTTGCTGTAGAAAGTTGCTTAAGAAATTGAGGTTTTAGTTTTTTCATTATTGCCCCCATTATGTTAAAAGGCTTTTTAAATGCCCTCTGTAAAGTATATACTGTGAGGTTCAAATTTAGTTATATTTTCTATAAACTCACTAAAAACAAAGATCTAGAATTGCAGTAACTAAATCCTTTGCTAAAATATTATGATCTTTGGATCCAATTCAGTATTTAATTTTTTAGAAATCTGAGAACAGTTGGAATTGCTAATTTAAGAAGCTACTATCATCCAAAAATTTATTTCAATGCAGTATTCATCCATAGTTTCAGGTGTATAGCACATTCAAGCACCCTTGCCTACTCTTCAGATCATAAAAGATTTCTTGTAAAGTCAAATACATAAGCATATCGGCTATCTGTATGAATATTGGAACTAAACACCTTGAAAAATCAACATCAGGAATGTGATTTTGTAAACTATAATATGTTAGATATTATACAACAATTTAGATATCATTAATTTTTCTCAGTATTCTTAAGCAGTGCAGTTGTCAATTGAAATACATGGAGATTTCAAGAATAGTGATTGAAATAGTAATGAAAATAAAACTTTTGTGTTGTCATAGAAATAAATATAATAAAAAGAATTTGTCAGGCACAAAAGACCTAGACAACATGTGAAGCTCCAATTAAATTGATTTATTATTACTCATGCCTATGTACAGGAATCTACTCACCTAACAGCATTAGGCATTGAATAAAGTTCAACAGTATTCAAGAGGGGTTGGATTTAGTCGATTTGTGACTACATGGAGACTAGGCTGATTCCTCTTTTGACTCCACCCCTAGGTTCTGCCGTTCTTTTTCCTACAAATTTCATCCAAAAAGTGAACATTGTAAATTACTTGTTATTGATTCCTGAATTGCGGGTAGACATCACTGAATAACTGTAAAGTTTCTTCGTTATGAACTTGTGCGATGTTGTCTAGCAGATGCGAGATTTGTTGAAACTCATGGCATAGATGCAAAAACAAAGGCATATTCAAGCTTGTTAGTGTTTTTACACCGAAGAAATGTATACCCAACTGTCTAAATTTTATGTTTGTTGTGTGTGTGCATGTGTTTTTTTTTGTGGTGTTGACTGTGAGTTCTTTATGTGGTTTCAGGGAATGGTTCTTTCTATTGTCGCATGAAGTGCTGAATCCAATGTATTGCCTGTTTGAATATGCAGGGAAGGATAACTACTGCCTACAGATAAACCCAGCTTCTTACATCAACCCAGATCACCTGAAATACTTCCGCTTTATTGGTAGATTTATTGCTATGGTGAGTTCAGTGCATGGAATAAAATTTATAACACATTTAAGATATTATAAAAACCACATGCAAAGCTGAAAATGGTTAATTCTAGAAGACAAGAATCTCTATTCATTTTCTTACTTTTAAAATAGGAAGCAAACCTTATGTAAATATGTAATTGGATAGAGGAAAACCATATTGGTATCCTTGACAGCAGTGATCTTTCTTGTGTTCCATACAGAGTTTTATATTTGAATGCTCAATATATTTAAAAGCCTGCCAAGCTTTTAATTTTGCTATTCTTCTTAATACCTGGTGAGAAGAAAAACATGGCTTTGATAAAAAAAAATCTATCATATATCTTGGATAAGAGTGCTATTAGAATAATTCTTTTTTTCTGAATTTACTCTTTAAAAAACTTGAAATTATTATAGTCTGCCATATGCTTGATTAAAATAGGCTATAGATTTTTTGTTGGTTCTACATGAAATTGTAGAGATGTTTTTGAGTACTTTAAACATATCTAAATTATATTGACTTGCATGTTCTAATAACTTACAAAAGTTAAATTATTCAGCATTGTTCATTGGGTTAGATAACCATGGGCTGATTATAGAACAGATCACAAATTACCTATGTACAAGTTCCAAATCAAGTTACAGCAGAAGAACAAAGTCAACCAGCTTTCACAATATGATCTTGTGCTTTTAGCCTTCATTTTCAAGGAAAACACTGAATGTGTTTGACATCTTTAAAATCATTGATTGGAAAACAGAGGAATTATTCAATGAGATAGTTGTTAAAGTGAACATGAAAAAAATTGCCAACGAGGGAGGAAAAAACAAAAGAAAGAAAATTGAGACTATAATTGTAGCATATATCCCATTGTGAGGATTCCTTTCATTAAAATTTCTTTCAAAGTGATAAGAGCAGCATAGGCTTCAAATCAGATATGCAAAGTGCAACTAATGTAAGATAAGTAATACCTTCTATCCTTTTCAGGCATTGTTCCATGGAAAATTTATAGACACAGGTTTCTCTCAACCTTTCTACAAACGTATCCTTAACAAACCAGTTGGATTAAAAGACTTGGAATCTGTAGATCCCGAGTTCTATAATTCCCTCATCTGGGTTAAGTGAGTTTCTTATTTCTACTTTTTGAATATTAACTTTATGCAAACAAATGTTTATATATTTGACCAAATTAGTAAATATTTAACTCTTAATGAAAACTTGTTCTGCTATTCACATTTAAATATATATTTTAATAGAGATATTTAATTTGTTTGTTTATTTATTCAACCCATCCACCCATTTAACATGTGACTCTGGGTGGCTCACTAGCTAGATACCTCCATAGGATTCCTGATAATAGAATCATGTCTTTGGGATCCTCCAAAAGGTCAATAATATTTTGTGAAGTTCATATATTTAGACACATACTTCTAATTTTGATAGCCTGTAGATTTTACATCAGGAGATAAGTTGTGATAAAACAGGATACGCCACTGTGCTAAATAAAGCCTCAACATTCTTTCATAGGGGTGTTCTATGCCAACATCAAAATGTAATAATGTATCACTGATTTTCATTGGCATGATGTTCCATATTTTGAAAGATTTAAGGTTAGATGCATTGACCTTCCATTGGGCTCAACACAACTAGCTTGTATTTTTTTAAAATTAACCTCATCAAAATGCTGATTACATTTACATAATGGCATTGTGCCACTCTCATGCACTGGTAATCTTCAGAGAATAATGTAAAAAGGAAACATGACTCACAGCTTCAGAAAAAGAGTGCTGATTTTAAAAGCTATGAATTATAGTCCTAATCATGGTATTGTTTATTGTCAAAATATCCATAGTAAAAAAATATTTTAGTAATTAATCACACCACATGGTATTGATTTTGTAGGGAAAACAATATTGAAGAATGTGGCCTAGAAATGTATTATTCAGTTGATAAGGAAATTCTAGGTGAAATAAAGAGCCATGACTTGAAACCCAATGGTAGCAACGTCCTTGTTACTGAAGAAAACAAAGAAGAATATATTAAGTAAGTTCAAAAATATTTTTTAATATTTTTAACCATATTTTTATTGTATTCAAGCTGCTATTCTCTGATTAGGTCTCTTTTTATTCATACATACAACTTGGGCAGAGTAGAACTACGGCTTTTTTATCAGTGGGGAACTTCTGTCTTTAAACTACAACTTCCATCAATCATTGCCATTGGTTATGCTATCTTGGATTGTAGAACTATAGTTGACAATTTCTAGAGCACCACAAGTTTCCCACTCTTGTTTCAGAGCCGTGATCAGCTAATATGTGAGAGAAAATGAGCCAACCTCCCTGCATTTTTGGATTACATTTCAGTATGTGTGAGCATCCAAGTGTGAGTGTAATGCAGTTTGCCCATTTGTGCCTTAATCTTTTCCATAATCCCAGAAAAAGTCCCTTGTCCAAATTGCAGTTCACTAGAACTGTACAATTGAATATAATAGACGATTTCACCTGGTTGAAGTGCACAAGGCTGGAAGTTAATCACGTCCTTTTGCTTTGGTGGTAACACTTCAGCTATATCAGGGCTGTCAAACTCAAGACCCAAGAGCCAGATCCGACCCACACGGTGCTTAGATTTGGCCTGCAGGGCAGCCCTGGAAACAGTGAAGGACCAGCCCGCGGCCTTCCCGAACTCCATTTTTGCTGGCAAAGAATTGCAGGAGGCCATGGCAGCTGAAAATGGAGCTCAGGAGCCCGTTTTTGCTGGCAGGGCATTCGGGCCACCGCAGGCGCCCCCGACACAAGTGATGTTGAGCTTACCATGGCCATGCCCTCCCCAAGGTCAAACATAACCCTGATGTGGCCCTCAATGAAATTGAATTTGACACCCTGAGCTACATATTCTGAGCAAGATTCTATATTCCTTTCTTCTTGTGTGCTATCTTTTCAAACAGTGAATGGCTTCAAATTCCTATAATTGTTCATCATGTAATTAATATTATAATTCATCTGAATCAAGGTTCATTGGCTGTTGTTATATGAGTTTATATTTTCTTTTCAAGACTGGTAGCAGAATGGAGGCTTTCCCGGGGTGTAGAAGAGCAGACACAAGCTTTCTTTGAAGGATTCAATGAGATTCTATCACAGCAGTACTTACAGTACTTTGATGCCAAAGAGCTGGAGGTAAACCTTTAAACCTGCAATTTAGACAAAACTTAGGTTCACAGCGACTGATAACTTGAGGGACAGTTTATGTATTTATTAAATTCATATGCCACCCATCTCACTATCCAACGTGATTCTGGACAGCTACTGTTGCTACTGTGAAAAGCTACTGTACTTTAATCTCTGGGCTACCAAATTTTAGCAAAAGTTTTAGTTTGCCATGTTACTACTTGAATGGGGAGAGTATAGGTCCACTATTGCAATTAGTAATGTGTCAATTTTAACCAGGCAAGCTGCAGATTAATTTTAGGACACTTCCACACTGCCATCCCTTTTTACACTCCCATCTGTCAAAAGTAGTTTGAAGCTAATTCAGCATCCTTGAAAAGGACACAATGGTATCTCCCCTGTTTACCAGCTATACTCTGTAAAAAAATAACCTTCAAAGGTTTCTTCTGATTTCTTCCTCACATCCATGGTTTTATTTCATATTGTCTGGTACTTTCTTAAATAAATAGAGTGGCTGAAAAGCCATTAAAGTAGAAGTTCTTTTATTTTTTTACGTGTTTGCATTTTAAGTATTGTAATAGCAAATTGCTTATACATTTATACATAAGTTAGAGGAAGAAGGAAAAGACTGAGTTAACCTGAGACAGGGCAATGCAGAAATTGTCGTCATTGAGAAATCTACCCTGCCTCTAAGCTATCCAGAGCTTCCACATTTTAAGTGAGGATTAATATTAAAAGTCACTTGGAATGAACTGTAGCAGTGCTGGAAATAAATTGTATGAGATTTGATCCATAAAAAATGCAAACTCTTTGTTTTGCAGCCTTTGTTAACTTGCGAATAGAGTATTTAGTACTTCACCATGGCTTAAGTGATGTTTTTTCCCTTGCATTGCAAATCATGGCAAATAAGTACTGTACATTAATCAAGCCTTCATTTGTGTTGTGCTTCTCTGATCTCTTCCCCCTTCCCCAGGTGCTTTTATGTGGAATGCAAGAGATTGACCTGACTGATTGGCAAAGACATACAATCTACCGGCATTATACCAGGACAAGCAAACAAATAGTGTGGTTTTGGCAGGTTTGTAATGCTTGAGTAATATCTATCTATCATCTCTACCCTGCTTTAAATTTAAGGTTATGTTTGTTGTCTGAACATCAGGTATTCAGGAAAATATTTCAATAAACTTTCCTAGGGTCTAATAATTTTGTTGTTTCATTTCCTAGTGTTCCTTTACAAACAAGCTAAAATACCAAGGAAAATTTATTGTGTATATTTTATTTCTTTTTGAATGTGCATCAGTTGTTAATAATTGACAGATGGATCATTTTCATCTACACTAAAAATATAGTGTTTTCTTTTTTTAATAAAATTGGATTTTTATACATTTTTGTATCAGTCTTGATTCCTGACAATTACATAGATAGGTCCTTGCAGTACTTTTGAGACATGTTTCACCACTGCTGCCTTCTTAAAGCTAAATGAGAATGACTGGCCCAAAGTCACCCAGCTGGCTTTATTCCTAGGGCAGAACTAGAACTCATAGACTCTTAGTTTTTAGCCCCATGCCTTTAAATGGTACTCCTAACTGGGTCTCAAATTTTGGACCGTAATGAAATTATAGAAATATTTAATATTTCCATGTAAACATTTCAGCTTGTAAAAACCTGTAAATGTATTAAAAATAATTCTTGATTTAAGAGTTATTTTGATATATTCAGCGATGGCTGTGAACACTTCATGAATTGGCAGGAGATATTGCAAATTGTTTTAAATGATCTATTTTATTTCAGTTTGTAAAGGAAATAGATAATGAGAAGAGAATGAGATTACTACAATTTGTTACTGGAACATGCCGATTGCCAGTTGGAGGATTTTCTGACCTCATGGGTAAGCAAAATTATGTGAGCTGGATTAGCCTGGTTGGATATTGTTTGGGCATCAGCTCAAATCATTGGGCATTCATACATGAATTTGGAAACATGAACATCTGTTTATCAGCTTTTTCCTTTTCACAGATAATAGATCAATAATTATCTTTGACAGGATACGAGTTTCCAAATATAACCATTTTTAAAGTAGGATACATTGCACATGGTTAATGGATAATAGAGGTGTGAAATGAAAAAAATGTTTTGCTTCAATTCAAATATTGCATACTTGAAATTCTGTTTCATATTGGCCACAACAAGGACAAAATAAAATCCAGAATGATTTACCTGTTCTGTATTCAGATAAACCAAACCCTAAAACAGTTGTGGATATTCTGACTATATAAAACAGTGGGATTCAGCCTTGGAACAATCTTTGCAGCTATCCAGATGACCATTAAATTGGAGCAATAGGTTTTCTGTATTTATTGGCCACCTTAGACAGTAGCTAACATGCCGTCTTGTCACTGGGAGCTCCCCTCCACAGTCCTTTTGGCTTGAGCTATAGATGAGATTGGACAGCTGCCTGCCACAAGCAACAATTGCTTATATTATCAACCAGGCTATTTTTATACACAAATTTAGCACTGTTTCGGAAAATGCTAGATCTGTGTTGAGAAATAGCCTGGCTGATTACAAGGCTGGTGCGTTTCAGTATCTGCAGTCTGTCAGTTGGACAAATGATCAATCCCACATTAAGGAAGCTACCACACATTAATTCATAACATATGAAGTTAAGCTTCCCCACACAACTTTTTACAAAACCACCAATCTGGCCCAGACAGAAATTGGATATTCCATTCGCAAGAAGCAACCTCCAGATAAAATAGATCACAGAGTATTTTTTTAATATGTAGATAAGCCATATTTTGGATTCTATCTAGGGCAAAACATTTAAAATGTATGTGATTCTATGCAGAAATGGGGTTGTGGAAAGAATATTGTGCACATCTTCAAAGAGTAAGTTTCACAATATCCTTGAACAATGGTGTATCTTACTTTAATGGGGAAAGTATTTTTATCTTACTTGAGCTTCTTAAGGATTGATTCTTAGAATGGTTATTTTTATGCCTTGATAATTCTGGCAGTTTAACATAGATAATTTCTGCCTTTTCCGCTTCTGTTATTGCAAAAGAAAGATTGGGATTTCTCTAGAACACAATGCTGAGTATTGTAGGAGAAATAGGAATAGGGAAAAGTAGATACACTGTTTTATTCTGTATCTTTGTGTCATTTCACTCTCTGTTGGCAGTAGAATAACTGAATAAAATCCCATTTCTTCAGCATTTTGAAGAAAGATACATATCTCTGTACTATTGGATATATGGTCATTTATGGTGCAGAATGAATCACTTCCAAAATGTTAGAAAACTATACTGATCTATTGTGGCTGTGCAGTGCTTCTAAAAATTCAGAAACATGAATGCAAAAATTGCCTGGCTCATTAAAGTATTCAGAACTGTTACGATATTCCAACCATTGCACATTTGTATGGCCCATATTATTTTGTAATTAAATGGACTTTTATCATAACTAATGATGAACTCTGTTTCATCATGCAACTCAAAATAATATTTCGTTAGCTAGCCTAATGATGTACTTTTTCACCTTAGTTAGATTTCAGAAGTAGGTATGTTCTACCTTTGTTCTTTACAAACAAACTTCTACAAAGTGTTTGAGAGATCTGGTACTCTCATGCAGGCACCATATGCAAAGTTACAGATAAGCAAACTCCATATGTGAAGGAAGTGGCCTTGGTATGAAAAAACCAAAAGGGACTTTAAGTAACTATTTCATAATCTAAAGAGTGAGAGAAAACATGAGAAAGGAAACTTAGAATAACTCACTTTGACTAGGAGGGAGAGAACCTTTAAAAAGCTCATGTTCATCTGGGATGGGGGGTGGCGGCTGATGTTGCAAAAATAAATGGCACTATCACAGAGAAGGCCTGCCTATGATCCCCAATGTTTTTACTTCTTGAGGAAGCAAGACCTTGAACAGGCATTCACTTGATGATCTGATAAAAATGGGCAAAAACATTTTGGAGAAGCAGTCCCTAAATCCGAGTTTGGAGATGCACTTCGATGGTAGGCTTGACTACCAATAGTCTGGCTGTTGCATTCTTACCAGTTGCAGCTTCTGAGTCATCTTTAGATAATGTGTGTTGCAATAGTTGAACTGCATGTTGGTGGGTATGGGTCACCATCGCCAAGACTCCCTGGTTTTATGGAACTGGAAATGAATTTCAGGTGCAAGTCAACACAAATAGAAGAACTTTACATGGCATTGTTTTTAATACATTGTCTCTGATGGCACAGAAATTAATATGACTACTACTTAATAATGACACATATACAAAAGATCTTACTACTTACTTCTTTACAAAATATCTGTTCCTCAGCAGCTTCGATTTTCACTGTATTTACTTAATACAACTTAATTTCTCTCATATATTAATTTTTTTTAAAAATATATTTTAGGGAGTAATGGACCCCAAAAATTTTGTATTGAAAAAGTTGGTAAAGAAAACTGGTTGCCTAGAAGCCATACATGGTAAGTAATTAAATGATTCAGGTTACTATGTCCATTCTGTAACAATTAGAGCTACTTTTATATTTTTGTAAATAAATAGCTAAGATGTTTTAAATCATACAGAAAGTTGCATGCCATTGTGGTGTTGGCCCACAAGGTAATTTTTTCCCCTTTAGAAATAGGTATGTAAAAGTTGTTAGATAATTATACTAAAACTGTTCCTATTTCCCTCTTGTCTACTCTGTTTTACACATATCATGCATATCATGGTATCATTCAAAGTACAAATATTCAGTAAAAGGAGCTAATTATATAGTATACAGGTAGTTCATATGTTACATAGTTAAGCTCAAAAAATAGACTGAAGTGGATTAATGCATGATATAGACATCTGAAAATGCATGTTATTCTTCAGAGTGTATTGCTGTAGCTCAACATCAAGGCAGAGAAAATCATGTGTTGAGTTGGATGCTCTTATTTTTCTTCTGCATCATTTTGTTCAAATGTTCAGTGTTATTAAGCTTACTGCTTATTTTCAGTTTCAATCGCTTGGATTTGCCACCGTACAAGAGTTATGAACAGCTAAAGGAAAAGTTACTGTTTGCAATTGAAGAAACAGAAGGATTTGGACAAGAGTAACTTTTTGTGGAATTTGGATCAGAAGAACATAAATTCATATAGGGTGTGAGTTCTTCACTGCCTCTGCTAGTTGCACTTCTTACTGTAAACAGGACTTGATCTTCATTTATTTAAACAAATGTTAGTATGTAAGTAAATGAATGTTGCTGTCATTTTATCCTATTTTTAGATTTCTTCCAAATCCGTTACAGAAATCCAAAATGATAAACTATAAATGAAATCTTCCTTGACCAGAGGTTGTTGTACTTCTGGAGCTATGTCTTGCATCATGTTCATTAACTGGAATGCATTTCCTTTTCTTTTTTCTTTTCTCTTTCCTTTTCTCTTTTCTTTTCCTTTCCTTTCTTCTCTTTTCTTTTCCTTTTCTTCTTTCACATTTCCTTTCCTTTCCCTCCTGCTCTTTTCTTTTCTTCTTTTCTTTTCTCTTTCCTTTTCTCTTTTCTTTTCCTTTCCTTTCTTCTCTTTTCTTTTTCTAAAATAACTCCTTTCTCTTCCTGTTTTAGTAGCAAAGTATTGCTGCTGAAGAACTGGGAAGTCCACTCGTAGCTGTAGCATTGCAGCAGGCTTTTTCTAACAGCACTTGCTTGTATTCAGACTCTGGGGGTGCTAAATGCATTTCCATGGCTTGCCTATTGTGTTCTTTACCCACTGAGGCTTGACTGTTTCCACTCTCCCAAAACATATCCCAAAGCCATCTCTGTTCAAACAGAGTAGAGGGTTATGTAGACCTTAATGCATGCATCCACAGCATGACACTTTTATTTATTTTTACCACTATGATCGCATTCCTCAGGTTATTCCTCCATCTGAAGGTGCCTCTTCAAATTTGCAGGAATTTTAATCCATTTTCAGCTAAGGGTGTACTTAGTTTTGATTATGGTACTTTAATAGTAAATTTGAAAGATAATTCTTTCAGATGGGAACAACTGGAAATTATTTCCAGTCCTCTTTGTAGCTTGAGTTTAAAACTATACAAATGGCCATTAACTGTCAATTTTAGTTCTCCTCTAGATGCGGGAACATTGCTTCCTATTTCCCAGTAGTGGTCTAACCATTGCAACAAAACTGCCTCATGAATATATCTGGACATGCAATCCTTTGCATGTGTATTTGTAACTAAATCTTATTGAACAGAGTGGAACTTGCTTCTGAATAAACAGGCATAGAATTCTGTTGGTAAGAAGCTGAGGCACAAAAATTACATTCCTGCATACTTCCGAATACTATTTTAAATAATTCATTAACTTTTTTTTAGAGGGTGGAAATTATGTGTTGTTATGATTTAGACTGTTGATCAGCTCTTACTAACAACTTAGGCAGCACTTGGTTTAAATTTCAATTATTATATTTTTATAATGTCCATTAAAGCTGACAATAGCAATTAAACTATACTCCCAAGTTTTTAACAAAAGCACTTAGTTCTGTTGCCCAGTTTTGCTACCTTGCATCTTTTCCTCCAAGTTGTTAAAATTCTGTGTTCTGCATGCTGCTCCGGAACTCAGTAGAAGAGATGGTGACATTTTCAGAAATCAGTAATGCATGTTGATAGTTACATACTTGTATTGTCCTACTGCGTGAAAAGAGCAGAATCCTTTGAGAACTAGCCAGCATAGTCAAAGATGAAACCAATTGGCCAGTAAGACAAGCATTACATATCTACCCATCTTAAGAATGAATTAATTCAGGGCTATTGAACGCTTATGGGCTTAACCATTTTTATTACTGACTTTTTTTTAGAATTCTCCTTTGAAACAGTATAAATAGCCCATTCTTCTTCCATTTTTATTTCTGAGAATTATGAAAACAATTTAATTTTCTTCCCCTTCAGTATATATTTAAAGGAATATACACAGAATTTTTTCTTACACAAATGATCTACTTCTTGGATGGAGAAGGTCATATATTGATTCTGGAGAGAGATCTGCCTGAATATCTGAAGTATATATTAAAAATCTAGATTTTGGAGGAGAAAAAGCCTTAGAATTCTTTGCTTATTTGTTTTAATAACATTTAATTACTGAACATTTACAATTCAGAAAGAAAATTGAGGTAACAAGTATGGAATATAGTTGATGCTCTACACAATGTTACATTATTCATCTAGTGACCTAGAAATATTGTTAATGTATAAATATACAAAAGGCTTTCTGCCCTATATTTTTAAAATAAAGGATAGCTCTAATTAAAATAGCTGAGGCCCTAGTTCTATAGGGCATGGCTGTTTAATATTTTTATGGCTTAGATGATTAGTTCAGGAAAAAACAAATGCTTGTATATATTTTTGCAGTCTGGAAAAGTGTAGCTTATTCAAACTTTTAATTTAAATAGCTTTTTGTTTGTCTTTACTGCTGCATTACTGGGAAAGGGGGGGGGGTGGATATCCCAAACACAAAAAAAGTATTTTAAACATTCAAACTGAGAATATTTAACAAACGGAGTCTTGACCATGAAGTATTTGTTAAAACATTTATTGTAAGCATTGTGCTAGCAATATTTCTAAAATCAGAATAAAAAGACACTTTTAAGGCCCCTTTGCATTGTAATTTCTAAATTTTGTTCTTATGCCTTGTTATGTTGCAATAATAAAAATCATTTGAGCAGTTTGTATCTCTTTTCATTGTGGGAACCTGAAAGCTTGTGGAAGTCTGGTACAGTTGCTGGGTGGAATGGCTTGAAGGGTGGAGTGGCAAGATTTTTTTCTGCAAAGAGTAGGATTTGTTCGTCAGAAATTAATTCAAAAATATATGTGGACAGCAGTAAACAGTTCTTCCACTTGAATATCTCACATAGCAATATCTCCAAAAACATTAATTGTAAAAATTAATTTCTATTATATTTCTCATATATATATTTCACTCTGAATATTCTTTAGGCTTTAGGAAAGGTCATGATAAGATACATGAAATGTATATTTCCAATATTTACTTGGTGAAATTTCATCAATTATGTTCATTGTGATGATCACCAGATCACATTAACACATTCTTCAACAGAATTCAAACTGAAGTTGAAGATTAAATTGAATCCATTTAGTATCTTCAGCTCTTATTGTGAGAAGAAACTGTTGCACATTTCTTTCCCAGAATCACAAGAGAGATCAAACGCACCGGGTTGTAAAAAGCTCATTGTTAAATTGTTGTCAAAGTATAGCTTCAGATACTCAGTTAATTGTAATAATAAAAATTGCTCAAGAGGTAGGTAGGTAGATGATAGATAGATAGATAGATAGATAGATAGATAGATAGATAGATAGATAGATAGATAGATAGATAGATAGATAGATAGATAGATGATAGATAGATAGATAGGATGTAGATATATAGAATAGGTGGCACAGTGCTGTACTGCAGGCTACTTCTGATGGGGAAAATATGCTGACTAAACTGAGAGTGCTGTAAAGCACTATGAAGTTGTATATAAGGCAGAGGGTTGGACTAAAAGACCTTCAAGGGGATTGGACTACAAGACCTCCAAGGTCCCTTCCAACTCTGTTATTCTATTTAATGTACATAAGTCTAGATAGCTAATAGCTACAGCTGTTGCTATCTGGCAACAATAGCAATTTGTGAAGGATCAAAGTGTCCGTATAGTTTGCTGGAGCTGTCAAAAAAGTTAATGCAGTCTTGGCTTACATCAACAGAATAAGTTTCAAGATCACAGGAAGTGATTGTACCATTTTTATACTGCACTGGTAAGGCTATCTTTGAATACTGCATCCAAATCTGGTCACTATGATACAAAAAAAGATATTGAGACCATAGAAAGAGCAGAGAAGAGCAACAAAGATAAGGAGCCTGGAGGCTAAACCATATGGTTTATGATAAATGATTAAGAGAACTAGGTATGCCTAGTCTTAACAAAGAGAAGGGCTAGGGCTGTCATAGGGAATGTCAACTTACTTTCCAAAGACCCGAGTACAGGACAAGAAGTAATGAGTAGAAAATCATTAAAGAGAGATCCAAATCAGAACTATAGAGAAATTTCCTGACAGATTATCAACGGAACAAGACCTCTGGAAGTTGTAGGTATTCTTTCACTAAGAGGATTTCAAGAAGACACTGGACAACCATTTGTTGGATAGTACAGATTCTGCTTGAGCAGAGGGTTTCACAGAACATTTTTTCATTCAATAAGGATTGCTGTCAGTATGAGGATTTGAACTTGAAGTGTTTTTAGAAAAAAAGCTCATTGGGACTCCCAAGAGTGCAGAGAAGAGCAACAGAGATGATTAGGGGACTGGAGACTAAAACATGAATGGTTGCAGGAACTGGGTATGTGTAGTTCAAAGAAAAGAAGGACTAGGGGAGACATGATAGCAGTGTTCCAATATCTCAGGGGCTGCCACAAA